TCTCATGTACAAGATTTCAGTGCAACACTTGTTTATCTGTAGATATGATGTAGTGCAGGGTGTTCTTGTCTGTCATTTTAGGTGACCAGTGTGTATTCAGATTATAAAATTGACACAATCTTACTATTTTTCAATCAGACCTGTTTATCACACAGGCTGCAGATCTGAGCTCCTTAGTCCTTCAACACTAGACTGAAAACTTTCAGATGACAGTCCTTTTACATAGGTTTCTGGTGCTTCATGCATTTTCTCAGGCTTTTCTTCAAAACAGCAGTGTTTCCTTTCTGAAGGGTTTTTGGACTGCAAGGTGCAAGGTAACAGGAAAGCCTAGACAGTGCAGAGAGAAGAGGTTCTCTCTTCTTCTAGTTTACCAGTGCTGTGTCCAAAATTCAAATTCAAAATGTTAAGTTTGGAATGAATTTTTAGATTACATGTGCTAGCAACTAAGTCATGCAATGAGTATGCCAAACAAGACTTAAATAAAGGTGATCTAAATGCATGGCACGATTTGACACACACAGAAATGATCAAACACCAACTATTCCTCGTAAGTCAATTACATATCTCTTGGGGCCTCAAATAAAAGCATTCTAATCTGCTATCAAGCCAGGGACCAGTGCAGGAAATTACCTCCATAACATATAGGACCCAATTGTTTCCCAGAGTCCTGTCTGTTTGCAAACTGTCTGGACAGTAAATTGCAGGTCTAATCCTCTCACCTTATTTTCCAGATATTCCAGCACTCTTCTACTAATCCCGCCTGATTCTTCATGCATGCAGTTGTAGAGCAGTGGCTGAGTACAGAATGTCTTTGTATCCTCAGAAGAAGGGAAAGCGTATTATAAACCGTATGAGTCAAAGGCAGGTGCTTGAGGGCCTGATTTATTCTGCATCCTTTTGGAAGGAAGAGCAAAAACACTTTCTGCTTTTGAATCAGTTGGCTTTTGAAAATTAATAAACCTGTTGTTATCTACTCATGCTGCTTGGTGACCTGTTTTTATCTTACGCTGAGGTGCAATGAAATAAAATAAAGCAAAACTTTGAAGGAAAACTCAGGGGCCTTACTTGACTGCATAACCAAGTTTGTTTACTTTGAAAGAACAATAACAGTGTAATGAAGTCCAATGTCTGGTGCAGAGTTAAGTACATCCTTGTCTAAATTTGATTTATGTGATCATTTCTGGATATTAACTCAATCATTGTTAACATAACCTCCAGCATTTTTATGTTCATGCTGTCTGTGGGCACGCATTAGCGCAGCAAAGTGAAAGAAATCCAAATGAAAATCGGTAGCAGTTCCTAGTGCAGGAAACCTCTTGCCCTGAAATAACAGAGGTTGGGGTGTAGTGAGCCATAGATTATGTTAAGATCTGTGTAACTGGAGGAACTTTGTTAGGAGAGAGAAAGCAACCATTGATTCCTGCAGCTTATTAACCTCCTGAGGGCCACGGGCAGTATCCAGACATCAGCCATGGTCTTTGACAGTGCGTACACATGATGTGGCTATCAGATTATCAAACCACTTTTGCTGCCTCTTGAAACACATCAGAAGATGTGCTGTGAGCTCAGGCCACCTGTATTTTTGAAGGCAGAAGTTAAGCTTTGTTAGGAATGCTTGTATGGATGCTTCTGTAAATGTGTATGCAATTCATACAGTATGTCTGTGTAATTCATACAGTAACTTTGTTCAGTATACAAAGAAGGGTTTCTCTAACCACTGTGCTAGGCAGTAGCTCCACAGGATAGAAGACTGGACATCTTCTAAGAGGTACAGATGAAGCTTTTTTTTAGGTTAATGAAACATTGAGAAGTTGCCACAATTATTAAAGATAAACACAGTTCTCAAAGGAAGTTTTATGGGTATAAACAAATGACATTCTTGTTCGTCTTTCACATTCATTTCAAAATTGCACATAATTACTAAATCCTTCCCATATGAGTCTTGCAGTTTGTGTTCTTTAACTAGATAATATAGCATATGGTTTAGTACCCACAATTCCACAACTGAAGTTCAGTGGTATCTGCAATGATATCTTTGATACATAGAAATGTAATTCAATTTAACCTAGTTAGAAATAGCTATCAATAACTCCTCATGTTTCAAAGCCTTGAACAGCTGTTTGCTGCTGGTAGGTTCAGGTACAACTGCTGAGCTAAGGACAGAGTTTGAGCGTTGACTGTCAGCTGCTTCATTTTTTGCTCTTCTTTTTTAAGCATCCTTTTCCTCTCAATTTCATATGGCTGTGCTTTTCTTCTTTCTTTGACACTGATTTAGGGAGGGGAAAGAGAAAATGCTGATGAGATTATAATAGTTTGGGTTGTGTTGTGCCCAGAAAGGGGGCAGAGTCTTGGTCCAGTTTTATGCAAGACACCATCATAATAAGGTACATTTTTGCAGGTGGCACAGTCATCTGTTATGGGTCATAGCAATCATATGACAAGTCCTGTGATTCATAGACAGCTCATTTATTACTGCAGAGACCCAAAGGATGTGATTATAACATTATATCCTTTAAGTCAGCATCCAGAGTTTGCATCTGGATAGCCTGCAGTGTGGGATTTGGGCTGTTCTGTCAAGAGCCTGATTTTGAACATACCTTTATTACGGCTCTTTATCAGTATTATGAACTCTTTC